TGCCGGTCCCGGTCCGGTACGGGTGCGACACTGAGGGTTGCGATCCGTTGCCGGTCACGAAAAAAGACAAAAAGACAAAAAAAAAAAAAAAAAAAAGAAGTAGTTAAAAGAGAAAATTTTATGTTTTGTGTATTTTACACAATAAAAAGGGAAAAAAAAATAAAAGTGAAAAAAGAAAAAACCCCACAAAACCTGGCAGTATCAGTTGCCTCTGGAGAGGGGAAGTGGGTTAACTGGGGGACAGGGTGGGAGGAAGATTTATGAGATTTAAAATTCTGAACCATGTAAATGTATTTCCTGTCCAAAAATAAATAGATCTACTGTACAACATGGTGAGTATTGTTAATGACCATGTGTTGCATACTGAAAATTGCTGAGAGTAGATTTTAAGTTTTCTTACCACATACAAAAAAAGTATGAGGTAATGCATATGTTAGCTTGATTTAGCTATTCCACGGTGTATACATATTTTAGAACTTGTTGTATATGATAAATATATACAACTTTTATTGTCAATTAAAAATATATACCCAAATACAAACACGAATTTAGTAGATGAAAAAAATTAAAGATAATGATAATATATAACTAATATAATATGATACAATAATAAATAGTAAGGGGTTGGCTGGTTATCTCAGTTGGTTAGAACTGGGTTTTATAACAGAGGTCAAAGGTTAGGAGCTCTGTGCCAGCCAGCTGTCCCAAATAAATAAATAAATAAATATATAAATAAAATACGCTGAGGTTGATTGGACTGTGGTGGAGATTTAGTAGCACGTGGGGGTGGTGGTTTAAGATCATTGACCTTGACATCATATTGACCTGGCTTTGAATCCTGAACTTTCCTACTGTGTGACCTTTGGCAGGTCATCTGTAAGATGAGGAAAATGACCTTTTTCCACCTCACTGAGGTTGCTGCAAGTATTTAATAAGAGAATTTTGTTTGCCCAGCACTGCGAGTTCACCCTCCCATTTTCAGGACGACTTCTTGGGGTGGAGGCAGTAATGTTTTCTTGAGCATATACTGTGTGCCAGGGCCTTTGGCAAACACATCTTATGGCTTAACTCTGGATTGTCACAAAAACCTTGTGAGGTAGGTAGTGTCATCATTAAATGTTACTCAAATTATGCAGCATCCTGAGCAAAATAGTGGTGGGTCTGCAAACTGTGGCTCTCAGGCTGACTCTGGTCCACTCTCTGATTTTATTTTTTTAATTTTTTTTTGTCTTTTTTTCCGTGTCTGGCAACGGATCGCAACCCTCAGTGTTGCCCCTGTACCGGACCGGGGACTGGCAACG